GTCCGTCCATCCTTCAACCACTAGCAACCTTCGTGCTTCAGAAGCTGTCCGTAGGCAGGCTGGTCCACGAGCGTCAGTGAGGCAGCGGACCGCCCAGTCCGAGAAGGCCGGGCACCGTTCGAGGAGCACACTGAGGGCATCGGCCCAGGCCGCCCAATAGGCCGCCGGGCCGGTGCGCGTGGCCTGCGATAGTCCCAGCCCGCCAAGGCTGGCCGGGAGCAGGGCGATGTCCCGAGCGGGGGCATGTCGATCCTCAAACGGCATGTAGTGGTCAGGGTGTGGTTGTCTAGTTTTTGGTGCGTGCCGGTATGCTGGAGGATGAACCGAACCCAGTACGACGAGGTGCTGGGGACCGTTGCGGAGTAGCTCCGGGTGCATCGCCTCTTTGCGACCATATCGAGTCGGCGGCAGTCACCCGACGCCACGCCCGGTGCAGTCATGTGCGTGAGCCACTGCTGCGGAACGACCTTCGCTTCGGGCCCGATGGCTTATCCAGGCATGCTCCACGATGTGGTACGGCATGGTTCGCCAGGGAGTGTAAGGGACGGCCGCAACCGGGCATGGTGCCGCCGCAGGTGTTGGACGTCAGCGAGCGTCCGCAAGGAGCTCGTAAGCTCCGACTGGAGGGGGAGCTCCAGAAAGTGGCAGCGAGCGCACGCTGAGCCGGTAGGGAAGTGAGGCCACTCCATCGGAGAAGCCATGCGGCCACTCCCAATCAAGGAGGGCGACAAAAATGGCAGCCTCCGCGGCCCAGCGCCTTCCCACCCCGAGCCCAAAGACGATGAGGCGACAGCATCGGATGCAGTCGAGCTTGAGGTGCGTTTGCCGGCATTTGCAACGTGGGTGCTAGTCTGCTCCATCTTGCGGGCATCCATCCCGGGCCACCGGCCTGACGAGGGTGGCGTCAACGGCGAACTGTGGCAGACGACCCCTATGCGACGCACATCGTGGAATATCGTGCACCGGCACGTCTATGTGGCGATGGCACGTGCGAGGGGAAGTGCTCGGCCGGGAGGCGACCAGGTCTGGTGTGGAGCATGCAGGTCGATGGTCTCCTAACGCATCGAGCGCGCTCATGGCAGAAGCAACTGCGCGGGCTCAGCGGGAGGAGCATGCGCAAGCTGCGCAGGAGCAGGACGCCAAAGTGTGAGCCGGGTGTGGCAACATCATCCGCGTGGGCAAGACCGCGAAGGCTCGGGCCGAATGCTGCCCAGCTTGAGTGCTGTCCAGCTGCCAAAGCAGTAGCGTACGGCGTACGGGACACATGCCAAGGGACGAGCATGCGAGTGGAGGATGTAGAAGGAAGCAACAACACGAGAAATGCTGCGAAGGACGGCAGCGCTGTGCCCATGACAACTCATGCGACATGATCGCATGCGGCGCAGCGCTTGGGCGGGAGTCTTTCTATGTTTGTTTACATCTTCTTATGTACACGGCAGCGCTCGGCGCCACGACCATCGCCGCACCGAGATGATTGCCAACGGGCTTCCCTTCAAGAGCACACCTACCCTGAGCTCTTGCATGCCCGGCGGTGCCGCCTCGTCGTGCATGGCATCCAGGCTGCGACACTTAGAGCACAGAGGCCGTCCAGATCGTGCGACAGATTGAGATGATGCGATACCGTTCTCACAGGTCGCATGCACCAACCACCGGGAGCACGGCGTCTATACACAAAGCCCAACCATGTTAAGGGCTCACTTTTGTTGATGTGGTTGCTTCATGCCCACGCATATGAAATCAGTATACCTGCTGCAAATCACGCCCTCGCGCAAAGGCCGACCCGCTCCAGGAATTGCAGCACCTGCCTAGTTTCCAAACCGGTGGGTTTTGGTTCGCAACTTTGCGGCGCCTCGTGCACAGCACCGTGCAAACATATTTTCCTATGCCCACACTCACGAACCTATGTTTGCAGATAAGGTTGAGTAGCTCGATGCATGTAGCATGTTTCGCAACAAGGCATCGCAGCGTTGGATGGATTTGGCCAGGATGGATGTGTGCTGCCGATGATTGGTTTGGCAAATCGCAGGTAGGCCTGCTCACGCCTTTTGGATGATCCATGGCATTTACATCTTCATCATGGTAACGAAAGTGTCAATGAGTTCTGAACTTGTATGATTTTTATGCTATGGTGAACGCATTTGGCGTCTCTTCCTGGCGTTGTAAATCATTGTACATATGTGAGGCACTGAGATCTGCAACCTGGATCGCTTGGCTGATCCACAATCGATGACACGTGATGATGTGTAGCCTGTGTTGACAGCCTGAGCCCGGAACGCGCCGTTTGCGCGCTGCGGTCGGGACAGTCGAAGGTTTCCTGGGCGGACGCGCCCCCGTCGGACGGGCTGCCGAGCTTCCGAGGTCGAGCAGAGCGGGTCGCGGTTTTCGTCGCGCAGGTTTGCCCATGCTTGTGAGGTCAGGTTGGTTTGAAGTTTCCATGGTCTCATGTTCCTCATGGAGGTACCATGCTTAACGGATCGCGTACCGTGCTGTAAGTGGCAAAACGTCTTCCTCGATCGATGGACCGTGAACGCCTGCTATTTGCGAACCGGACAGACCTCAGGTCACATGTCATTGTGCTTTCAAGCCGAATTTGAGGGGGAATAACTCCTACTCTGAACACGCCCGGTGGGAATATGCGCCGGCCAGGTGACACTGCGAGTTCGCATAGGGAAGTCTATATCTAAATATCCTGTCTTGGAACATCTCTGCGCAGTGTGGTGGGAGCACACTCCCAAGTGGCAAAAGCATGTGACTTACAAACTTGACCGGCCCACGGCAGTGTTGCTTTTCCGCTCTGTCCACTGAAGTTGGCTTTGACTTCGAACCGCTGAGCTGCACATCACACTGCGAGCTTGCACTGCGGCTCTGCGCAGCTGCCTTCTAGGAGGCTGTCCTAAGATATCCTACATAAGATCTACCTCGCCCCGAAAATTCGTCGCCACAGTGCAAAACGCATGCTGTCCGTCCTGCCAGCCCTATCTTCAGTCGTCCTCATCTTCGATCAGCTCTGGATTTGTCGATCGCATGAGGGCTGGATCCTTGGTCTTTGACGCCCACAAGAATGAACCGGCCTGTCGCAAATATTAAGTCCACCGCTGGCTTGAAAGGGTTAAAGCGGTTTTGCCGAGCCTGTTGCAATGCGAGGGCCTACCCCTTGGCACCACTATCACCATCAGTCCCGGACGCCAGAAATGTCCCAGCCTCACCGGCTTGCCCCTGGCTTGCTGAAGGGCCTTTGTTGACCTGTATGCGGCTGTATGCGCAGGAAAAGAAAGAAGCTCCCAAAACCACATCCGGCGGGTTCCGAGTGCCTGCAACAGGCTTGCAGCCTTTGTTGCAACAAAGGCCTCGCTTTGCCTCGTGTTCCGATGGCACATGAAATCAGACGAGCATGGCAGCATGGGCCATGGCCAGACTCCAAAACCCTCTGAGGTCTCGAGCTTCTGCTTCAGGTATTCCGAGCCGAAGGTCTGAGCACGCTCCATCTCCTCAGAGACACTTCGAGAGCAATGCGAGCCTCCAGCTACGGTCCGGCACCCCGACCAGAAGAATCTCCGATGCATCAGTGTATCCTCGTTGAAGGCAGAATCATCACAAGCTGCGGCTACGGCGAGTATCTGAGTATCCTGCCTTCACCTTGAAGACCTTCGACCTCGGCGAAACAGAGGCCCAGGCACTGCAGGTTGGACTTCATGAGGCCAGCACCGACATTGAACACAGGGCCAGTAACACTAATCGGCATGGCATGCTTGCAGCCTCTCATGGGCAAGGCAATCCGAGCACTCGGAACTGTCAAGACAACTCACACCAAGCCTCGTGGATAATGGTCCAGAAGGCGTGATTTGCGGTAGTACTTTCTCGGATTGAGCTTCGACCAGGTCGTGTAAAATGGCTGCGGAGACGACTTCAGGCCCCGCGTGCTGCCCGAGGTCACTTCAAGACTTCAAGCTTTCGCCTGTTCCGTGGCGGCCCTCATTTTCGGTTCTAGGCGCAGCAAGCGCTGCAATCGAGAACCTGTCTGGCAGCTTCCCCCTTTAGGGCAAACTGCTGCGTCGCGTTGCCTTCAAATCAAATCTAAAGAACTGGAGCACGTGCTTGCCGAAGAGAAACTGGAGCCTTCGACCGCTGGCTTCTACCATGGCTCGGCTCTGCTAAGGTCGCCAGTTCTGGCAAAACCTTCCGCACTTGTGCGACCATCCGATCCAAATGCCCAAAGGGGGCGGGGGCTGCAAGCTGCGACACCGCTGTAGGCGGCCCTGCCGCGAGCTGCGAGGCAAAGTTTCAGCTGTTTTTCAATCTTAGGAACAGAAACACACAGCCAGACACCACGCAGACATTCAAACGAGCTCACAGATGAGCTCCACTCGGACAACACCTCAAAACAGCTGAAACTCCTCTGGTCTCTTCTCTCGGAAAGAGTGTCTGTTGTTACAAGGGGGGATGGATCCGCTTGATGGAGCCTCTCCCCCCCCCTTTGGTGAAACAACCCATCAGAGAAGGTACGGCCTGGGCACACACAGGGTGACGACTTCCGTGTGTGTTAGAACTCCAAGAGAAAAGCGGGGGTGGGTGGGCCGGGCACCGGGCCTCCCTGGTCACGGCTTGCAGTGCAGGTGCACGTGGAGAGCGTAGAGGGGCACAAAGTCTTTGTTGGATTTCGACACCTCGGGGTGCGAGACGATCACAAGAGAAACATCAGCAGGCAGCCCAGTCCAACCGAAGGCGACAAGGCGTTCCACTCCCGAACACGAACCATGGCATGCACTGGTCAACTTAAGCGCAAGGGAGTTTGTGAGAGCAACAGTCAAGACGGGATCCACATTGATCCAACACCGCAGCCCGGCGAGACGAGAGGTGCGTCCTTCCCCGCTACCCTGGAAGGAACGCCTGACGATGGCAGTCCTAGAGACGGCTGACTTCATCACTGACTGAGACGTGCAAAATCCACGCGCACCCTTGCCACCTCAACATCTCTCAACTTGCTGTCGAGCAGCGGAGCTAGGCGGCGGCTTTTCCAGCTCTTTGTGCCACAGTCGTTCGGGAGTGTCCTCGCATCCGAGCTCTGGCAGCTGAATGGACAGGCTTCCGCTGCATCGCACCTTGAACCACACGCCTGTATGAGGATCACGCATGTACATCCCCTGGCACATGGAGCAAGCTTCACTTCACGTGCCACAAGGAACAACCGACATGCAAGACCCATCTGGCACCTTTAAGCCCTGGCCCGGGTAGATGCCATACTTTGCGAAGGAAGTGGCAGAGGTCTTGAACCAACCTCAGTTGCACATACTAGTACCTAGCGAGATCTACCAGGCCACACTGGTATGCCACATCGTGCACCAAGGTTGCTGCGCTGGTCTGGAGTCTCTTCGGTAGCCCTGCCCTGCCACAGAGCATCGACCCCAACAGGCTCAAATGGGACACAGTGGTGAAGCGAAGTGAGGGAGGAGAAGGCTGCCTATCTGCTACGAAGTCTGCTTATCTGCATGAAAGCTGACCTGAACCTCGCTGTCCATTTCTGCGACTTGCTGGACACAGCTGTGTGTGCCGAAGTACATGCTTCGCATGACTCTCAGCCGGAGTTTGCAAAACTGCTGTTTGCAATTCGGTTGCTGGAGGGAAAAGACCTATTGAAGTGGGTCTGTGCCTGGCCACTTCTCGGTTGGAAGTGCTCAGCCGCTATTCTCCTGCAAAGAAGTGGAAGACACGATGTCCGAATTCTTGAGCTGCGGATCTCTGTCCGAGCTGAAGTTACCAGTGTCGCAGATTGTTGTCGGCGCTCTCTGCTTTGACGTTTTGGCCTTGCCTCTAAGATGCGCTTTGCAGTTGGAGTTTGTACTCGGCCAGATGCCTCTGACTGTCAGGATCGGGGACCTTCATTTCCATCAGGTCCACGACCACGCGGGGCTCTGGCAAATGTTCGCACTTCAAACTCAAAGCCAAGGCTCCTGTTCTGAACTGAGCTCGTCTGCACTGCAAGCCCTGCTTCCGGTCGGCCAGGCAAGACATGCAAGACTGCGAATCTTTCAGCAGGTGAGGCAAAGGCAACGCGTCATCCGTTGCCATGTCAGCTGCTCCGAGACACATGATGACCTCTCAAAGCTTGAGCCTCAAAACTGATATCGTGAAAGGTGTGCATCGTGACAACACTGAAGGCTTGCTACCTTCTCACGCCTGGCAGAGCAAACAGATGGCGGCCTGCTGGAAATGGGTCGAAGCCATTCGAGCCATCCGTAACTCGGCGTCGTGGTATCGCCGAGACATGGACCCCATGGGCTCTGTTAGCTTCTGAGTCAGAGGCAGGATGCGGGCCATCGAGCCGCATCGTGACCGATGTGTCCGAAGTGGACCGTGTGAGCCTCGCTGCGGACGCTGGCCCAAAGGCAAACTCGTCTATCGTCCACTTCTCTGCCTGTGCTCTCTGAGACCGTCGCCAAGAGTTTCGCTCATACAGCTCCATGGTGCGTGCCCTGCTAGTTCAGCCTACTCCCTGTCTTTGCGTCGACACGGCCACTCTTCGAGCATCTGGGGCGCCTGGACAGCTTGGGAGCCGGGTGACCGATCTTGAGGTCCGTCATCGCCTCGTGGCCAAGCACCGCACGGCACCACGGTGTCACATATTAACCTGGGACTGAGACCACGACCTGGAGGATTCGGCCTTGCACCGCCAAGCTTGAGCCTTCCTGATGCTGGCGGAGAAGCGATGTGGCACGCCGCACGCCGGGTGCAAGTCCGCCGGGCGGTGCGCAGACCAGGAAAAGCAAACAAGCTTAAGCACGCAACCATCGCATGAGTGCTTTTCGTATCTTTTCTTCTTCACAGCTGATGTCACTTTGCAGAGGCTCATCGCATGGCAGATCCCAGCACGACGTTCCAATCACGAATGACGTAGGAGGGGACCTGGAAAGGCCGGAGCAGGAGTCTGAGTTCGAGAGCCTGCTGAGTCCAGATGCTAACCCTCGCTTATTCCCCTTCTGACGGAACGAATCTCGCAGAAACTGGAAGATTCTTTGTTGATGTGTGGTCCTCCTCGTTCTGCAAAACGAAAGCCTCCAATGCGGTCCAAGCACCAATCCGTTTGTGAAGTAGGGATCATCCTTGACCAAAGCCTCTACCTCGTGCCGATCGATCCTTGCATCAAGCACGGGCCACGGTGTGCCCATGCATGCCCGGTCAGAACCCGACAGAAGCGTAAATGATAACCGGCTTGCCATCACGGAGCCCTCGCAGCACGATCATTGCACCTGAAGGAGGGTCGAAAGCTCCTCCCAGCAACACCTGCAACGCCGCCAAGCAAGACGATGTAAAAGCTGAGAACTGACCCACCTGATCTGCATCCGCTAGTCTCTGCCAGTGCGCTAAATGTCCTCCCGGAAAGGAGCGGACAACGGAAAGGCGAGGAACGCAAGAGGGCGAAGCACAGAGACTAAAAAGAACAGAAGTTGTTACAAACTGCCAACTGTTGGAAGTTACAGTCCGGCTCGGTGCGGAGCTCGCTTCTCAAGAATGCCATCCACATACTCCTGAGGGTGCAGACTACGGCATGTTTTGCCGAGCCAGAGGAGTCGAACGGTGGCTTTGTATTTGTTGCCACAAAAACCATTCCAAGCGGCATACTGCAACAGCAGGCATTTGGTGACTGCGACCGTTTGGTCCGTCTTCTGTTTCTTCTCAGCTTGGGCAGCTGCAGCCTCAAGAGATACTGAGCGAATACAGACGAAAGAATCATAGAGTGCAACTATGATGTCATCATGCCAAACAGTCAAGCCTGAGTGGGAAGCGCTCGTCTCAACCATGCTCGGAAGCACCCCAAGCTGGAGCGCAGGAAGGCGTGCAGACAACCAAAAGGTCGAGAGGTTGCTGACCCTTGTGGTGTGCAGAACGTCGGCATGACGTATGCTGAGCAGTGAACTGAAAGAGTGCTTGACAGAAACGGCAGCATGATGCAGCATGAGCCAAAGCGTACCAAGAGCAGACTGTCTATGCTGCAGTGACCTCTTTGCAATTCCAACGGCCCCGTGGAGCAGTTACAGCGAACCGCCACAGACTCAGTAACGCTGAACTCTGCATTCATGCTCGCGGCTCTCTGTCTCAGCGAAGGAATGCAGCGCATGTTGCAGACATCTTTAGATGAACTGCGCTGCAGTCTGGATGGGCGCAGGCTGCAGCAACTAACTACCAGTACTTGGTACCTGGGATTGGCTGTAGGTCGGGCTGCCTGTCTCCGCCTCGAACCGCTACTGGTACCCACTTCAAAGACAAGAGTCGAAGCCAGACATGCCCGGGAAAAACCGAGTAAGCCCTGCATTAACAGCACTGAAGTGCGAGATCCTCAAGCTGGCCAGGGAACGAAGGGCCCTCTGTTTTTGGATCTTGAGCTGCACCTCCCCTAGGGGGTACTAAAAAAAAAAGATGTGTCACGGCTGCAGGAGCGCTTGTGTGACATCCTTACCTCCCATACAGTGGTTGGCAAATGTCGCTCGACGTCCAGTCCAGCACCAGGGGCTGTTTCGTGGACCATTTCAGGGGGCAGAGTGCCTTGGATGCCCCACCCACAGCCAAGTCTAAACGCCCAAAGAAGACAGAGACCGAAGGTGGGAGTCCCTAAAATCAGAGTCGGCAAGGAGCATTATGGTCCAAGATCAAGAGATCGCCATCCCCAAAGGTCACGTCTGGATATTCGTAGTTTGCAGCCTGGGCTTTCGCGTCAGGGTTCGCCAATAGGGGATCTTATTTGGGTCTGCTCGAGTTTTGCCTCCACGATTTACTGCCCAGGGAGCGGGCGCAGAACACTTTTGTTATCTCACCACGCTAAGGTCCTTATCCTTAAAGGACGGTTGTAGGAACTTCAAGTTCGGAAGCTCCACACGAGGCACAAAAAAAAAATGCAAATCTGATCTGGTCTCCAACCGCCCGTGTGCGTTGCCCCCGCGCGTTGTTCCCGCGGTTTGCCAAATCCTGTTGAAGCTGGTTGGGGGCTTCAGGCTTCAAACTCCGGGTCATGTAAAAGCCACGAGATCAAAGCAGCTCAAAAAGTTCAAGCTCCAGGTTTCTGAGCTCCCGCCTGACACTGCGCCAGGGTTCGCCGCACTTCTTGTTTGTTTGTTCTTTCAAATGGTACCTTGGTAGCCCAGTAGCCATATTACCATAAGGGTACCGTTTTTCTGCAGTTCTGCTGGTATGTTATATATATATATATACACACATATATATATATATACATATATGCGGGAACCCAGAACCCAAAGGGTAAACGGGTACCACTGGGGTTCCCAGGTGCTCCCTTCCATCAGCCGTCGCCGTCCAAGTCGGATATTGGCAATGGCGGGGCCAAAAGTAGTTAATGTCCCCGTCGTTGACGTCCAAGTCGATGTCATCGGCATTGAAGTTAAAGTACTTGCCCTGCGTCTGGGTGGCATCATGCCACGTGTTCAAAACCTTGATGGCCCTGTTGCGGTTCACCTTCACGTTCAAGCCCCAGATTGAGCCAACTGCTCTCCAAGGCCGGATGCGAAGATGGTTCAGCCCACCAGCAATGTTAGGCTTCCAGTAGTCGACGAGACGGTCATCGATCTCAAGCCAAATCTTGCTCTGGCTCCTCAGGCAGCCCCAGCCCCATTCGGGTATAGGGCTTAGGGATGTTTAGGGACCAGTTCTGCCGCCCTCACTCCTCTTGATGCGATAATGATGCCACGTGTTCTCTTTGACCGGTGTGGGCATCTTCTCCTTGGACGTCCCGCCCTTGCTACAGGGAATCTGAGGGTGGTGACAGCCCAAAACGGCGTTCGCTCATGAAAAAGCAGAGCTGACTTGCAGCGTGCATGCGAACACGCACGCATGAAGCTACCCAAGCAAACCAAGATGCTAAGTAGTCAGAATCTGGAATTGGCGCAAGCAGATCACTAGCTGACAGCAGCAAGGGGCTTGGCAGAAATACGAGTCAGTATGATAACCATTGCGATTTGTAAATGACATGGTGACATGCCCAGGTCGCTTGCAGCCTACAATGGCATCATCCGGGTTCAGAAGGCGCTTCCCTCAGTAAAAATGGCCTTTGCCAGCGCACGATTCTTGGAAGCAATGCGGTTTTAACGTAGCGCAGGGCCCTGATTCCGCATGTGCCATACACACGGATGCATCTGTTCGCAAGGACCAAGAAAGCGACTCTGAAAACATGTGTTGAGGACTTGCTGCGTTTTCATGCAGGGTTGTGCTTCGGGTGTTGGAGAAACGTTTAGGGAGTCAGGATTTTAGGCATTAGGGGCATCAGGTTCAAGGTCTTCATTCTCATTGTTGTGAGGGCCGACACAAAGCTTCTTGGTTGGCGACAATGGCTCAGTCATTGAACCAGAGCCAAAAGCCAGCTTGCCGCTGGAAGTATCCAGATTCCACCCATGGTGATGCGAGGCCCATTCCTTGGCTCTGGGCAATGTATAATATATAATGTATAATGCATAATATATAACAAACAAAAAATATATTATATATTATATAGAATATAGAATATA